GGCTCTTGAGATATCATTTTACCTGTACTTTTCCATCCCAGGCGAGGCTAGCAGTAAACGTGGTGTGATGCAGAGCGAAGACTTTGCTGTGATTTCACCGAGATGCCAAGAGTTTCAAACGTGCCATCTAGTGGTATAAACTAAGAGCACTCAAACTAAAGGAAATCCCCTCCAAAATCCACCCTCTTCCCAATACTCGTTATTTCTGAAATGCTCCCTTGTTTTGGGCAGAAAATGAATATTTACGACCCCTGCTACCGTATCAGCTTTCTGAGTGCTGGGGAACTGAGCTCTTCAAGGATTTGTTAATCGGAAGGAGGAACAGGGAAATTTTTAGTCTGTTACATAAGGTACATGCTAACTCAAGAGGTCTGTGCCTTCACACCAAGAAAACAGAGTTTATGCTGGTATTGCCTTCCCTTTGAGGAGCTGAATGCACTTGGCAAACAAAATAAATCAAAGGTTAAAACACCTTTGTTTCGGGGAGAGGGAGGTAACAATAACGTGCTTGTCTGTAGCTGTACCGTAATTCATCAACAGAGCCCCGGCATGAGATGCCCTGCATTTGTAGATCAGTACTAGGACATATTCCACCCCAGCTAGTAACCTGAAGTACTTCCAGCTTTCTCTCTGCTAAAGGCCGCACCAAAATTGCAAAAGGGTCCAAAATCTTCCTAAAAAACCTACACTCATCACCAAGATAAGAATAGGCCTTACAATGAGGAGTGTTAAAAGACGTGAGGTTTATACCACAATTTGGCATGTGTATGCAGTGAATTACAGTCTGAATTAAATCTGTCTTGGGTGTTTGTCTTTACTGTTCTCTTCAGTTCAAGCTCTGGGGCAGAATTAAAGTTGCTCAGGTTGATGTTTGTGTGCTTGCTGTTCCTAGGATTTTTACCTAGAGGTCATCGTGTCCTTTTCTGTTATTACCAAGAAACTTGTTTGCTGTTTGGATTGGATTATGTGATCCATCTGTTGTAGCTACCGGAGTAAGTCAGGAGAGCAATTCCGTACTGCCTCACATGCCCCTCAAGTCATCCTTTTCGTGCCAGGGTCAGAATTCAGCCATTCCTATCAGCTCCTACAGCTCCAGACTCTGTGCATGCTGTTTGTGTGCAAGCCTGTGAGACAAAATCTAAAAAACCCTGAAATTGCCAACACTGGAATTACAAACTTAAAATAATACAGAAGATGCCTGTAGAAGGAATAAGAAGAGTTAAACATCTAAGAATTGCCAGTAAGCTAAGTGGGAAGGAAAAAAGTGTGCCAGTATTAAATGCTAGAAGTGTAGCTGTCCTAACTTGAGGTCTGCTTATATAGCTTAGGTAAAATGCAGAAAGAGGATTAAGAAAAGAAATCAAAACCTAGACTTCCAAATGCCTGGAGAAGTCCTTTTCTCTGTAGGGTAAGGGTCAAGCTGCTCTTGCATATTCTCTCACTCTGAATCTTTTATGTCTCTGAGCAGCGGCATGATTCAGAAAGAGGGGTGAGAGGTCACCACTCAGCTCATAAATGTGTAGTATCAAAATTACAGCACACTGCTAGGCTGTGGGGATGGGAGGAGAAAGCAGAATTGTCTCCCACTTCCCAGGTAAGAGACTTAGCAATAGGAAGATGCAGAGGGATGAGTAGCGTCTCTGACCATATTTTCCAAAGAAAATTTTAGGGTAGTACTTTGTGCTGAACCTCGGTGCTGTATTGTGGACCCCTCTGAAAGGTGAGGCTGAGGTACCTCCAAGGTCAGTCCTGTAACATTTAATCTGAAGCAAACTAGTAGGTCTAGTTTGCAGCTGGTTTAGTCCTTGAACTGCCTCTGTGTGGTAGCACAAAATGGGACATGGCCGAGAGGAAAAAGCCCTGGCATTATCGATAAAGTGCTGTGGAAAGTGCCCATGCTAATCAGGTGGAGACTGATTTATTTATTTGGATGTAGACACCTAAATGACCCTGAAGTGGGTATTTTTGTCTCACTGACTGTGTGTGTGTACTAACTGCGCGCCCACTCAGGGAGCCATGCTGTCCTCCCAGCCCACCTAAGACATGGATGTTTTTAGCCCAAGCAGGCTCCCTGCACCAACACTGCATGGCACTTAGACCAGGTCTCCTCTGTGCAGCATGAAGACCACCGTAAGACATTATTCACAATCTTTCATTTTTGTGTAGTGGGGTAGGGTTTGTTTGTTTGTTTTTTCCTTCATTTTAAAGTGCCTGAAGGAAGATCAGCTTGATGCTACAGTGTACCAGTTGGTGGTTTTATTCCCAGACTAGCAAGAGCTTGAGTTTTAAGACCTGGTCACATACCCAGCTTTTGGTCTTAAAGCCTGAGTTTGAGTTTGGTGTGGCTTGACAGTATCTGGTGGTCCTGGGAAGCGTAGATCTTGCTGGAGCGGTGTCAAAGGCCTGTGTGAGGCCGTAGGAACCAAACCTGCTACGGACTTACGGTGCTGCATCCTCGCAAGGGTTCCTGGAGTGAGCCATCCCTGCAAGCACACCTGGGCGTGCTCGCTCCTAACAGAGGCCATGGGAATAAGCCTAACACGGATGTACTGCGGACCACAGTTCAGAAAGCTGTGTTATTTATTAGACAGAGTGAATGTACCTGCCAGTGGAGTGATCTGTTCAGAAGAAAAAAATACCAACAACATACTTGTAAAAAAACAACAGCATTGAGAAAGTTTACATCATGCATTTGAAAATGGTTGTCTTTTGAATGTGTTTTGGGTTTTTTTTTTTAAACCAAAGTTAAATCAGACTTGGACAAGTGATGAAAATGAGCCATTCCAGCTACTACATGTTTTTTATTTTAAGGAGCGTGATGCTTTTTACCTGTCGTCCTTCCTTTGACTAAGTAGGTTTTGATTTTATGGCAGGAAATATTTGACTGTTTCTACTAGTGGGATGCAGCATTTGACTTTATGACTGCAATGCAGGTCTTTTATTAGTAAAACTTAATGTGTAACAGGATAATTCCGTTGCACCTACTACTATACTGGCTTGATTTCGTACAAAATAAGTTTCTACTTCCTTGAAGGCCTTATATAAGCCTTAACTGGGAATGAATCCAGCATGTTCGATCACAATAAAGGAACTGCCTCAGAACGAGCTCTTCTTTAGAAATAGTCGTAAACAGGTTTATATATAGGACCTGCTATTATACACAAAACTTGCTGAAGAAACGTTTCCCAAGAACTGGTGGTTTTAATATATGCCGTGGGGACCCTGCTCGAGCCAATTCACGAGCAAACCTGTTGTAATTCCATGCAAGGTTTAAAACACAAGAACATCTCTCAAATGCTTATCTGCTGAAAGGGCTGGGTACTGAATGGCTCTTTGCTGTAAGAAAAGCATTTGATGAAAAGGCTCGGAAACTTCGGCTGGCATCCTGCGTATGCAAATGCAGGTGCCGTGCACGTTGCATTTGGATTTCAGCATTTTTTCAGATCCATTTCAAGTCGATCGGTAGCAGCCTTATGTGGTTTGGTCCCTCGCTTTCATCACCCGTGCCCGATTATTATACATGAGATCCATCAACCCCCTCTCACCGATAGTGCCTGCAGCTGAGCATCAGCACGTTTGGGAACAATAAAGGGCTGTCATTTGGGAGTTTCTTTTCCTTCCTAATCGGGCAGGACCCAAAATTATTCCTTCGCAGAGCTCGCCGATCAGGCTTGTGCCTTGAACAGGTACGCTTACATCTGTGCAGTGTGAGGATTGGGTTTAGGGAGCTTTGTCGCTGGTTTACATTCAGCATCGTTGGTTGTGTGCTCTCGTAGAGTTTCGGATAGGTACAGGACAAAACATGGAAAGACTCCTGCCTTTGTGATTGATTTTTAAGGACAGTTTGCCGTTTTGTTCCTCGCTTCCTTCCTAATGAGCTGAATTGTTAAAATATGTTAATGTAAGGAGACACACGAGAAAGGGTAAAGCAATATACTGACACGTTGAATAATTAGATCATCTCCTGCGCAGGAAAAAAAGTCAAGTATGAAACAGGAACAAGAAGTGCCTCCCTCCCCCACTGTAGAGGCACCAGGTCTGGCTCTTTCTGCATGCAGAAGCAGGTCAGACAATTAGATCTTTAGTATTAATTAATTTTTGTGAAATTCCTGAAGATTCAGAGTGTCATGTGTACTAACGGTCTTCTATTCGTCTGCTGTTTTTTGGGAGAAGTTGGGAGTCTTGTTTTGGAGGGCTGAATTCGTGAACTGTGTAATTTGTGATGAAACAAAAAAAATTACTGTTGCTGGACTGAATTTGTAAATACCGTAGTGGTTAATCAGGTCTTCTCAGCAAAATCCTTGTGAATTTTGTCCTGAATAGCAGTTAGATAAAGGGAATTTCGTAAAGAGGCACAGGACATTGTGGCTGCCTTTCTGATAGCGTTTGGCATTTTGGCAAAGCAGTGCTTCGTATTTCTTAAAAGATTTCTTTCTTTGACATAATAACTGCTTAATAATCAATAAGATCCAAGCCCTGTGTGAACCTACGCCTGCGGGGAGGGCTGTGGCAGTACTCAGTCTTTACTTACATGAGTAAGCACTCTTGTGTGTTAAGTTTACTTGTTTGATAAACATTACACTTCGCTTTTGTTCTCTTACTTAATCACTTCCTTCGAAGAGTTAACTTCCTAAGCAGCCACAGATTAGTTCTCTCAGTTGTTTTAATTATTTTTCTTGTCACGCACAGTGAAGGTCTAGTGTTTGTGAAATGTCTTCTTTTTTTTTGTCCCCCCCTTCCGTGGCAGCTTCAGTGATGCTGGCATTGAAAACCCAGCCAAAATGCTCTCTGTCTGCAGTCCTGTCACTTTTTTTTTTTTCTTTTTTTAGCCAAGTTCCACCTTTTTGAATGTTAGAGCTACAGAATATAACACTTTTCCTTCAGGGTGATTTGAGTGCTCCAGAATTTTGTATTCCTATAAGGGGTACGCGAGAGACTGTAGCAGTGGGCTTCCACGTGCTCGCTGCTGAGTAATTTCCTTTTGTATTGCTGACAGGTGACTCAAAGCAGGAGCTAGCAGATGGCTGCATCGTTAGCTGGTGGCCACAGCCTTATGAGATGAGTTTTGGAATTTCCATCAAAGTCGGGATTAGGCTCAGGATATGCCGATGGCACAGAGCACCGCGGGGGAGTGTGGAAGAAGAGGAAATCATTCATAGCGACTCATCTTGTGGTTGGGTGAGTCAGGGGTCTGCTGTTGGTGGTCAGAAAGGCACGTGGCTGACTACACCATCTTTGTGTGCTCTGCAGGATGCAAACTGTCTCTGTAAATTAATTCTGCGCTTTTGATTGTTGTCCAGTGAGTTATTTCCAGAAAGGAGTTACTGTATTTTCTGGAATGAGTATTGTGAAATTCTTTTCTCTTTTTTTTTTTTTTTTTTTTTTACAGTGAGGAAGTTTTCAGCTGGTGATTTATCAACAAAGTATTTTACAGGATCATAGTTAAAAGCTCTTAAAAAAAAATATATATCCTGTGCGATAGGGAAAGTAAAAGCATCTCGGTTTCCAAATGCTGAAGGAATAACCGAAAGAGCTAGTTCTTGGAATAGTAGCTCCATTGGCACTCGTTGGTGATTTCCTGTGCATTTGCTGCAAGAATCACTCTGTGATGTGAGTAGGTGGTACTAAAGGGTTATTACGAAACCAATTTTCAACCAGACGTTTTGAGTCATGGATCGGGAAGAGGGATAGCAGCTTCAGAGCTTTCTCTTTGTTCGAGCAGTGCGCCTGAAATGCACACGCAGGATATTTTGTGCTTGCATGGAACAAGGCAGACTGGGGATAGGTCTGGTATTACGTGAAGTGCCCTTCTTCATGCCACTCCATCTCAAGGATGGGAAACGAGAACGTGGGCTGAGAGCCGGCAGCAGTGTGCAAGGTGCACAAGGAGCAGTTTCCTGACTGTCTTTCAATTGTAAGTATTTTCTCGTGGTTATTCCCAGACGTGAGAGACAAAATGGAGTTGCGTCAGGACGGATGTCTGCGCCAAAACGAGGTGGTGGTTTGGAGCGGTTTGGTTCTGTTCTGGAAGCAGATGGGCTGCCACTGGCAGGAGACAGTTGGCTTCTCCATCAGAAAAAAAAAAAGAGGGGTGTTTAAGGGAATTGGTCTGGCTCCTGAACCGAAAGAATTGTTGACCTACTGACTCAGTTATGAAGCATTAGGGAAACAGTCTTATTGTGGTTTCTTTTGTTGGTGGCAGATTCAGAAGACGTCTGTGAGCATACGGGTATGACTAGCAAAGGAGAGACGGTTCTAGTACCTGCTGCCTGTGGGATTTATTTTGTGCCAGGAAGGAGCTGAGGTGCTGACTACTGAATAACACCTAAACTTTATTTCTGATGCTTCTCCTGATAATGCATTGGTAAGTTTATGTACTTCTCATTTTCAGTGCTAAGATGGTATCTTGCTAAATGTAATTGAAAGAAAGCTCTTTAACAGCTTTATCAACATGGCAAGGTGTATTCATTTTTTCACTGGAGCAGCTTTTACAGAAAACACTAGCTGGCCTGCTGCAGTTCAGGAGTCTGTAAATAACGGGGGAAACTTTGTCGATCAGGTCGACAAAAACAATTTAAAATTGCTGTTCCCTCCCACCTTTAACCTACAAACCTCTGCTAACATTGGTACTAAGCAAAGAGGATGGGCCAGCCCTCCAGCTTTGGGATCCTGTCATCCTGGAGTCATGGCTACGCTGTAATTTCCCTGTCACACTTTACTGAATGAACAAGACTTGGGTCTTCTAGAATTTCACATGAAAATCAGATGTCCATCCCTGGAATTAAATCTAATGATACTTTTCTTAAAATATGCCTAGAATAGAAATGATGTTATTTTTAAGTGGCTCTGTAAATCGCAAGAAAAAAGATACCAATTAATGGTTTCTCAAAAAACCTAAATCATTAACATACTATTGGCTAGAAGAAATCATGTTGGCTGACGGAGCTAGGTCTGGAAGTTGTGCTCCCTGAATCTGCTGTCAATTCTGCCACTGGTTTTGGGAGGGATTTTTTGGAGGGGGCGCTTCTTGGGCAAGTCATTATTTATTCTTAGTTGTCAATAAAATGAGGATAGTGTTATTTAACTTTTCCTTCAGTGCTTTACTTGGATGCTGATATGTGGTACTGTAGCTCTTGGATCTCTAGAATATTGTTTTGAATGCATAGGTTATTGGAAGTTGGGGAAAGCAGAATAGTGATTATTGAATTTATCATGCTCTGTGACAGGTCCCCTCTAGACACCAGCTGTAGGAATTGCTGGTGCTGTGTCCTAACCGTCCACCACGAAGGGAGGAATTCACTGCCGCTGTTCTTCCCTGGGTGGGTGACACCGGGACGCCTTGCATTCCCAAACCGGCTTGAGTTGGGAGTTGTAGTAAGGTGCTCGTGGATATTTTTTCCCTCTTTTCCGAAACAGCAACTGAGAAGGCCGTCCGTGCACCACACGTCCCTATGGAACTGCAAATAAACCCAGTGGTTAAGGAAAAAAAAAAAGGAAGGTTTAGCATTGTACTGGATTTCCTTTCCTTAAGTGCTTCCTTCGGATCTTGGGAGAAGAGCTCAAGCACGGGGTGACTTTCTAGCGAGCAGTTGTACCAAAAGGCGTGGGAGGCCGGGTCAGGGAAGAGTCATTTGGTTGTTATGTGGGTGTGAAAAGCCTATGAAAAGGAAAGGGCGGAGGAAAATATTTTACTTGAATTAAACAAATAAAGGAGAATGTTATATGAATTAGGTATTCGAAGTTAGATTTTTGACAGGTATTTTTGTGAATTAACTGCATATCTTCTGAAAATCATTTATTTAACCATAAGCTTATCAAAATGTTCTCAGGAGGGACTTTTTTTTTTAAAAAAAAAGGCAACAAAAAACAAAAAAAATCATTGTTTTCTTATCATTTCAGATAAAAAGAAAGGAAGTTGCGAATTTTTATAGCCCCTAAATTGTTAACTGTTAAACCTGTGGTGGATCAAATTTCCTCAGGCTTACACTGGAGCAGTTTCCTTTACTGCGAAATTACAAGTAGGCCCTGTTTGAGGAGAAGGAGTCTTAGATCTTCAGTTCATTGTTGTGTATCCACCTGTGGGGCAGAGGAATTGCTGCTCTTGAAAATCACCTGTTTTGGGGAGCAGGCTGTTACCATTGATGCAGTGCACAGGGATGGTTCACACCCAACGTAATTGAAAAAATGGTATTTTGGAACCCGATTTTTTTTTTTTTTACATGTATGTTTGTAGTATCTCCATCTCCTTGCAGTTTTTAAAATGTCACCTAATATGATTGAGAGAATCTAAAATACATGGTGTAGAGATTACCTTTCTTCATGCCTTTCATGATTATCTTGACAAAAAAAAAAAAAAAAGGCAGCACATGGAGGCAGGTTTTAACAGCACTTTCTCTCTGAAGCAGAATTCTGCTTATTACATTAGGTAGTGAAAGACTTGATTTTGTAAAAAAAAAAACCCAAGCAAACAAACAAAAAAAAACAACAAAAAAACCCCCTTTATCATAAACAGTAGCTTTTTAAACACAAGCATGTAAGGAAAACACTAACACAATCTGAAGTGAGATGTGCGGGTGCGTAGTATGATGTCTTCTACTAAGCCAACGCAGTGCTTGACGTTTTAGGTCTGTGCAGTGTCTTGATAGCGTTCATTTGTTGTTCATTTCTGAGGGATTCCCATGCGAAAGTTTACAGGCAAGGTGTAGAGAATTTGTTGGCTTTTTCTTGTTGTTTGTTTTGTAAATTTTTTGAGTTAAGTTCTTCATGGCCCGTAGCTATCTAAATGCAGAGTTTGCAGCTGAAGTTCGCATGCAAAATGGTGAGCTCAAAATTGGACTTGGAAAAGAGGAGTGCTTCCTCTTCCATTGCTCTACTTGAATGGTAATATCAACATTTAAAAAAAAAAAATTCATTGAGCCAAATAAAAATGCATGTTTTCCAGCAGCGTGAGGTATGAGTAGAAGCCACTTTTATCTGTGCATTTTCAGGATAGAGCTGTGTGCGATGATCTCTGGTGTCTAATTCCCTCGCTTGTTTCCCACATGTCTGCTGGCCAACTGGGCTGCCTGCAAGCAGTGCTGCCATGCCGTGCTGTGACTTCAGGGGTTCACTGGTGCAGTAAGTGGAAGCTAGCGGGCGTTTTTAACTTGCAATCCAAGTTTGGGCACCTGAATTGTAACTTTAAGGATGTAAGCGGCTACTGAAATTCCCCGTATGGCCTGTTATTACAGGCTCCTGTGAGAGTCTATATGCAGTTTTATTGCCAAAACATGAGGTTGGCAGCAGTGAGTCATAACTGTGAAGATCTCAGCTTTGCTCTTTGATTTTCTTTTACCCACCAAAAATAAAAATATTTCCAAGAATACAGGTAGGTATGTGCTGTTCTCCTGTTAGGGCAGAGCTCTCACTGGCTCTTAAGTGTATTTACGTAGCTCATAGGATGTATTTTTCAAGCTTTAGTATAAAAGGAGCTGTGTATACATTTTATCTAATCTTCAGTGTAGTAGGCATGAGCAATTCCTGGAGAAGGGACCAGAGTATAGGGCTCTACCCCTTCTCCTGGGAGTCTCTTTCTCATGGAGTCATACTTGCCCTGCAGTGCTTTCTCTTTACGGCTTTGTCAATCTTGAATTCCGCTCTGCGCTGGCCCAGCTCCAGCGGGAGGGCAGAAAGCAGCCTCAGCCCAAGCTCTGCTTGAAGTCTGCTGGCTTGAGGATTTTGTAGGAGGTGGGATCTGCAGGGGTAAAAGTGTCCAGCTTCCTGGGTGAGCTCTTGCCATTGGGTTACTATTTAAAGGTGACAATACGATCTTCTGTGGACATGTTTTTGGATCGCCATGACATGTTGTCTTGCAGTTGATGTTGTTTTAGTGTGACCAGAGTGTACCTAAGGAATTGACTGCTCTGCAGATTTCACGTGCGGTTTCAAGGTTAGCTTCTTCCACGGTCAGTGCTGATGACCGTGTGGCCTTGGGGCAGGCCAACTCAATTTGCTGATCTGGTTGAAAACTAGATTTTTCTTCTCCCTTTATTTTCTTTTGGGAAAGTTAGAACTGATCCAACTCACTGCATTGCTGCATGACTGCTAGTGCTGATAGGGAAGCAGCAGAAACTCATGCCCAGAAGGAAAGGAGGAGGTGGGACTGTCCCTTTCAGTGACATGTGCATGAAGTTCAGTTCAACCTGTTCAGGAAACCGCACGCACACACACCCCCCCTTAATCACAGTGGAGCTCAAGCAAGAGCTAACTTAACCTTGTTCTCCAAAACAAGCAATCTGTTGGTTTTTAGTCTTCCCTGTTTTCCTTTGGCATCCGGATTTTAGGTGTCAATGTTTAACTTAAGCATCTGTGTACAATGAGTAGTCAAGGTACTCCTCCTGTATTTCCATTTTCTGTTCAGAGCCTAAGTACTGAAGACGGTTAATACCGTCGTACGGTGGCAAAGAGGAGTCTGTCCCTTACTAAAATTTCTAGTCATCGATGTAAATAAATAGTATAGAAGGAATATTTATAGAGCCTGATAGGCTCATGGCATTTATCAATTCGGCATGTTTTTCGAACAGCATCACAAATTGTTCTTCTGTTTCCACAATTCTGCTTTGGAGTTTTTTCACTTCTTCTGCATTTTTCTCATAATCTTCCCGATTCTTAAACTTCTTATTGTTACAATCTATTTTTCTCATACACATGCTTTAAACATAAAAGCTGTGCTCGTGCCATATGTCCTTTTGCACTTTCTTCTTTCTGCGTGTACGCTTACCTAATAACTTGAAAATAGCAAACAAAGCACATGATCTGAGAAACAATCTGGTATTTTACCCTAAGGGAGGATTTTCTCAGTGCACAAATCAAGAGTAAATAGTTAAAAATGCTGTATAGTATAGATCCAACCACACTAACGCTTACTTGCATGTATGAGTGAAGTTATTTGCATGCATAAATGTTGACAAAGTTGAAGTCTGTATTATCAAACCCGCTGTCAAAAGTTGACCCCGGGCATTTTGCAAGAAAGATGATGATTGTCTCTTTAATTACTTAAATTCTGTTTTGCCTATTTAGGAGAGCTACCCACAACTCTGTAATTACTGCACGCCTGCCATTCAGATCAGGCTCTCTACTGGCAACATAATGCACAACTTTGAACGAGAGTGGCATGGCATAGCTACAACACCCAGCTACAAGGACCTCCTTTTAATTGAACACTTTGATTATCACACAGTAATCAGACGATTGAGTTGCTACAAAAGTTTGCCAGCCCTCTGCTAAGCGCTCCTACGGAATTACAGAATCATAGATGTTAGAGATGGAAAGTGCATTAGATCATCCAGACCGTCTTCTTGCCAGTACATGTTTTCTGCTACTTTTTTTTTTTTTTTTTTTTGCGGTTTATGGCTAGAGATACTCTAAGAACTTGGCCTTCCACTTCGATCTTCTGGAGTCTTTTCCACAAAGTTTGACGGTGAGATTTTTCTTCGCCTGATCTTTGGCCTAAATTTTTCCATTTCTTTGTTTCACCATATTATTTCAAGTCTACGTTCTCATCTTTAAGTAATTCTCTCTGTGGTGTTAACAGCCTGTAAATATGAGCGGAATAGTTTTGCGTGCTCTTGAATATTAGATGTATCACTTCAGTGCTGCATGTTCAGTTCTTCAGGATTTGAGAAAATTATACTGATTGAAGATAGGTTTTAAACTGAACTGCTAATAGTATAATTTCTCAGACGCATATTTTATTTCAGTGTAAGAGTGGTCTGTTCTGGTGTCAGTGGAGAACTTGTTGCAAATTACCTGAAAAGGCTGGTTTTATTTGGAAATGAAAATGTTTTTATATGGGGGAGTTATGCCAGTATAACTTAAGTGATTTTTTTCTCTATTGTGGCATTTAAACTGCAGGGAAGCAATGTGTGCAGGCAAGTCTGCAGACTCTACATTACATTACATTCCGGCATTACAGGGAAAATGAAAAATTTAGTTTTCCGTTAGTGACAGAAATAGTGTAAGTTGTAACGTAGTTACTTGAGTCTCCCCCATTATCCTATCTTTTTTTCAGAGTTTCTTCACTTCATAACTGTTGTTTCTTTTTATAGTTTCACTTGTTTTGGTGGGATTTGGGGGTTGCTTGCTTGTTGTTTCTTCTTCAGGGCTTGGTCTTCACTACCAGAAGCCTTGGGTGCCCAAGCAGGGTTGTCTCCAAAGTTCTCTCTTGTCTTGACCACAAAGAGCTAGATCAATATCCCCCCAAAACAAATACTCGGTGGCCACAAAGAGGACAAATGGGCATTGGTTTTGCTGTCACCCCATGAGACAGGCCAGTTGGTGTGAGTTGGCGCATGGCCATGCTGGCCTGAGCCAGTCCCTTCGGAGCTGCCTATGGTCATGATCCAGCACCTTTACCCCAGACCTCCTCTGGTTTCTGAAGCAATACTACTGTTTTTCCTTTCAGAGCACCCCAAAGGATGAGAGAGTTGTATTGCAAGCCTCCAAATAAAGGTTTTTTTGTAGGATGGGGGCGAGGGTGTGTGTTGCGTGCCCGCCGGAGGCACAGCACGCCTGGAAGCTGGCAAAGGCAGGGCCAGCACCAGCACTGCGCAGTCCTCGTCCCCACCGTCCATCCGCACTGTGTCGGAAGAAGGCGTTGGACTCGTTCAGAAGGGATCCCAGGGGTGGGTTAGCATTGGTGTGGCGCAGAGAGCTTGACCTCATGGGGCCTCATGGACCTTGGGAGCTTGGGGCGGTAAGCTGTCTTCCTTCAGGCCACCGGGAAGCTCGATGCAGGGTAGGGATGTTGATGAGAGAGGCGAGGACAGGCGTATCATAGGAGGTAAAATTACTATTAGTGAGCGGATTGAAGGTGTTTGAGGATCAGGTTGTGTAACTGAATGGGGAGATGAATGAAAAACATGTGAATGGGTGGGTTACTGAGTGAGAAAGAGAAAATGTGAGTGGGCGGGTAATTAGACTGGCAAGTGAGAGAGGAGGTAGGAGTGGGTGAGTAGATGGGTAGGTATGTAGCAAAAAAAGTTGGAACAGCGTTACGGGCCGACTCTGATGATACCTGAAAGACTGGTAACAACCACTCCCCTTGAGACATGCAGAGGGGACTGACGGCCAGCGCTGTTACAGGAGGGACTGTTGGGGTGTGGAGGTGAGCGGGCAGACCCTCAAGACCTCTGTTGCTTTCCACTGGTCTGTGTCCAGCTCGTTTGGATGGCACATCACTTACTCTGCCTAAACTTCTCTGTGTCTGTGCATGCAGTAAACACTAATCTTCACCTTGGTCAGACGGTTACGTTTTGCTAGTGTTTCTGCAGAAATACTTAAGACCATAATTACTATTTGCTGGGTTTTTTGCCTCTAGCAAAGTCACAGAGAAAGCAGGTGAAGCACAACAGTGACTTCTAGTCGGTCTATAGTGTTGCAGTTTGTAGTGGATATTCCCAAGAGCTGAAATGACTCGAGAGC